TTCGCCAAGTACGTAACATAGCTTCTGTGTTTAGGTAACAAATCACTTGATTTGCCTAGAGAAATGGCAATATCGAATTTTTATTTTAATATAACCCATGAATTGATCAATTCTCTTATGGATGTGATTAAATCTTTGTTTTATCATATCTCTACGACACATATAAGGACAATTGACATATGAAATATGTACTAAGGGTACATGACAAAAGGGTCGCTTAACATGAAATCCACGAAGAACATGCGTGTTTCTTTTTCAAATTTATATAAGCTTAATATTTTTTAAAAGATTATTACGATTATTTATAATAAATGTGGACATTAACAGGAAACTTTAGTAAGTTGATTCTACCATATGGAATCGTCCATCAAGAAGTGTTGGGTTAGTTTACTTTTTAGTCATACAAATCTATCCTTCGGTAAACTTTAGAGATCAGATACTGGGAAGAGACGTTAGATTTCAAACTAGATAAAAAACTGTTAACGAATAAAAAATGCTCGGAATAGAACAATCTATGAAAAATGTTTATGCATGGAATTCTTAAGAGATGAATTAGATGAGTGCATTGTTGTCGCATGTAAGCACCACAAAAACAGACATTAAATGGATCACATTTACACACATAGGGAAGACTACTAAGAAGGAGACTAAAAATTAACTAAACGACTCGCCTTGCTCAAAATGACCACGAACCCTAATCACTTGAAATTACTGCAAATGACGAAAAAAGTATATGCTTGAAGACATACAAACGCGACACATTCTGGACGGAAACATTCACGAACACCCAACACATCATTTACACCGTGTGAGACCTTATACACATTAAAATCGTAAAGGACGACGATCATGAGGACAGACCATGGCAATAAAGAATATGCACAATTAATCCGTCCACAACACCTTTCACGAACTTATAAAAGAGGCCCGACTAAATTAAAATCACCAATGATGGGGAAAAACTGAATCGCATCGGACAGCGAGGATAGTCGGATCAAAATGATTAAAACGACAAATAACTGGTTATTACCCCGCAGACCGCAAGAGAAAATGCCATTATTCAATACTTCACTGTCCCTTTCCTCAGGTGGCTATTAGTAATTTAATTTAAATAATTTCATATTTTTATAATTAAATATAAGGAGGATGCTTTATATTTTTGTATATATGTCAGAAATTGGTTCACATTATTTTTGTCCAAGGCAAAGGCGTTGTTTTAAATTTAAGTAGATAAAATATGAGAATTGTGAAAAATTATGTTATTTTACTAAAAAACTGGTTAAATAAACACAGTTTTAAATCAGTTGAGTTAAAAATACGATAAAAAAAGATTTAGTTATTAACGATCATTTTGGTCCGCCTATACTCACTTTATTGGTTTGCCAGATGCTTTCGTCATTTCCCCATCTTCAGTACTGGTCTATTATTCTAGACATTCAGTAGTCTTAGTCGTCTAGATTTAGATGTTTACTCAACACAGAAAAGTCGGTGGCCACAACGGTTAAGGCGTTGACACGCGCACATCGCTAAAGGTAAAGTTCCAGTGTTCGAATCCAAAGGCGCTTAATTCGAACCCGACGTATTCCAAATGGGCGTTTTTTCAAAATCACCAGCACCCCGTGGATTCCAGAAGAAAATCGGTGTATAATTTAAACTACACATTTGCTTTATTTTGTAAAAATAAAAAACTTTTTTAAATAAAGGACTTGATTTACCAAGGTATTTTTTTTCTTGGACAAAAAGCAAATTCTTCAATAAGTCTCTTTTAAATGGTGAAAAACAACAAAAACGAAATAAAATCTAAAATATCAGCATCATCAGAAATAATTTCTTTTTCGATCGATTAATTATAAATATTATTATTTAGAAACATCAATTTCCACGAACTTAAGGAAATGCATGTTTAGGCCAAGCAGGGCAGACTGGCATAGGTTGGAATGAGGACAAAGGGCCCTGAAAAAAAAGACGGTTAAAACTTCATACTCTCAGAATATAAACCGTGTAACGGTCCGCGGACGACCAATAGTTAGGGGCAGGCATTTTTATCCTCCTAGTAGTAACGCTCCAGATGTTTTACAACGTAACCGAAGGACTCGCAGGACAACGGAGGTCCTTTTTTAAGCTGCGGTAAGACGAGCGCTCTCTCCCGTTGGAAGGAAAAAGATATGAGCTTTTACCTAGCGCCCGGAGATCACGCTGTAGATATGTTAGACTGGAACGTAAGTCACGTGCCCTACGCATTCGAAACCGACTTACAAACAGGCTTTTTTCAAAAAGCCGACATCCAGAGGGTTGATATGCCTTCTTTGTTGTCGAAAAAACAACAAAAACAAGCGTACCAGAAGTTTCAATCTTTGATCCAACTCATCTAAAAACATTGAACTCATCTCATCTAACCAAATTGAAAAAATTGAGCCTGAAATATTTTGATTTCATTTTCTCACGGATTTATGTTAATGAGGAGGAATTTTGTCTTATTCTATCGATGTAAAAGTAATCTCGATTGGGTAGAAACTCAACAAAACAATAAAACATATTAATCAATATATTTTTAGCAGTCCGGCTTGATTATTTCAATTAACTATAATTTTTATCTAAGGTCTTGGTTGAGATGAAAAAGTTAGTGTAACGAGGGGGATTCGAACCCACGATCTTCGGCTCAATACGCTGCTGCTCTAACCATTTTAGTGACATGAGAGCTCAAGTGGTTAGAGCAGCGGCGAATTGAAAGATCGTGGGTTCGAATCCCCCTCGTGTGACTAGCTTTTTCATCTCAACCAAGGCCTTACATAAAAGGTTGATTGAAAAAAATTTTGAGATCATGTTTCAATCATAGTTTTTTAGTGATAATGTGATCGGGGGGGGGGATCAGTGCAAACCACATCTTTTAGATGGTCGTCATGCTTACTACGCTTTCTCCTGGTATGCTCAAAAAAAGAACAGGATGAAAACATTCCCATTTTTGTGTTTTATCCGAACACATATTTTAGATTATGTTTGTTTGATATTTTATGAAATCTGTGGATCCCAATTGTTATTTAGTGTTAATAAATAATTCAATTAATTAAGGTTTTAAGTTGAGAAAAAAACGTCAGTGTCATGAGCTGGATTCGAACCCACGACCTTCGGCTTGATACGCCGCTACTCTACCACTTGAGCTATCGAGACTTCGTTCCCCTCGGGCACTAACTTCCCATCGAGTAGCGGAGTAGTAATTGAATTATATTAATTGGTCAGCCGGACCACGAAAAATAGTGAAGTTAATAAATAATATTTTTAAACACCCACTTTTTGTACTGTTGGATGACAAAAATTGAATGATTTTTCTTCGAAGATTGACGCGTACGGTTGAAGATAGTTGAGATTCAATGAACTAACGCACAACTCGTCATAATTTCAAAATTTCTACACTTTAATAGTTCATATTTCTAAACATCCAACATCCAAATTGTTCGTTAAAGTTTTTCAAATGGGAATATTAAGAGTGTATAACGGTATAAATGAAGTCGATAAATCTTATCAAATTTACTTGATGAAACTAAAATTAATAATTTCTTCTTTATCACCAAATTATCAGTCATCTTCAAATTATCTCCATTTATTAAATCCAAGCGTACTTATCAATAATTAATTGGTATTATTAGATATTCTATTTATCATAATAATTAATACCTTACAATCTTTTTTAATAGCGATATTTTTTATGGCGATTTGATACAAGCTGTCAAACAGTAAAAAACTATCTCTTTGTGTTTGTCTGTATCTCTGTCTGTCTTCTCTTCTCTTTTTCTCTCACTTAATCGCTCTCTCTCTCTCTCTCTCTCTCCCTCTCTCTCTCTCTCTCTTTCTTTACCTATCCAACTTTCTATCTCTGTTTCCCAATGGCTATTTTGCTGGTATTTCTTCCTATCGTTTTTACCCAATTCCTTTTACGCTAGATGTAAAAGTGGTCAGTAAATTTAAAATTGATTCATTGACTCTCGCAGTATAACTCTTTCTCTCTCTCACCATCGCCCTTCCTCTCTACATACTCGCTGTATTTCTGCCGTCTGTGTTTCTGTCTCTGTCTATTTTCTATTATTTCTCCCTATACTTTTTACTCAATCCTTCTGACGTTAGATGTAAAAGTAGCCAATAAATTAAATATTTATTCATTCTTGCAGACCCTCCCTCCCTCGCTCACTCTTTCACTCTCTTTATCTATTCGCAGGAAGAAAGAACATGTATATCCTATGCTGTACACTTGGGAAATAAAGTACATCAAATTTGTCTTTCTATCTCTACTTCTCCTTTTCTTTCTTATGTTAACCTTCACTCACTCTCCCCCTCTCAAATTTCCTCAACCTATTTTCTTTGTCTCTTTTTACTGTCTGTCCTTATTTGTATAATCAAGTCTTGAAATATATTCAATTTATTTAAAACTATTATAAACATTAACGAAGTCGACATTTGTCGTTTTATTGTACAAATAATAATAACAATTTTATACGGTCTAACGAAAGTAAATTCTTTACGTTTTTCCTTGAGGCTATAATTTCATAGTTAATAATATTTTATATCAATAATTACCTTATCTGGCATAATGGTCTGTTTTGGCTTTCGTACTAAGTTTCATCAGTATTTTTCAATAAATATATTTAATAAACATTTTTTTCAATATAAAATATATTAATTTAGTGCAATGCCAAATAACTGAAAATTGAAAATGATAAATTTTCCTTATCTGCTAATGTTTGTCTGTTTGTAGTGTTAAATTTTCTTAATAATTTTGTTTAACGTTTTTTTATTTTTTTCTAACTTTGACTGTTCTTTTTTATTAATTTTATTTGTGACAAATGATAAATTAATTTGATTTATTATTAATATTGATTATTAATATTATATTTAATTTTATTGATTATTCATTTGTTTTTATTCTGTCTTTTACACTTAAATCAGTTTTATTTAACCCGTTATTACTATTGCCTAAAGCTAAAAGACTCATAAATATTTATTTGCAGGCAGGAGAAAGAATAAAGGGTACGGAGGCATCGGGCTGATGATGGGCGGCATGATGCTGGCGATGGGAATGGCCGCGCTTGCAGCCCTTGCTGGTAAAGCGATGGCAGCATCGATGGCCGCGCTGATGATGGCCGCTCTTGCTGCGATGAAGAAAGGAGGCGGTGGAGGGGGCGGCCATCACTCTTCATACGAGGTGATTTCCATACCCAGCCATCATCACCGTAGCTTTTACGAGGTAGACCATGATGAGCAAAGCCCGTACCATTACGACCAGCAGCCTGTTTACGAAAACTGAAGAAAGATCTCTACCTATGAACTTGTAGAAAAGGATGTAAAGTTTTCTATGTAAAATGTTTTCAACCACTGCTATAAATTTACATTATTTATTTTTTTAAATTATTTATTAAATCTACTTTATTTAATGTTTATTTATGTTTTGTAAAACCTTACCTTGTTGTTTTTGTACAAAGTGAAGACGAAGAAACAAATTGTTTTGAAAATACTTATATTACAAAAGCATTGATTATAATCAGGATACATAAATATGAGTAACATCTAAAATTATATTCTCGGTGTATTTTCTTCGATTATTCTCAAATGTTTCTAAATACCTTCCAGGTTTGAATTGAATGTTATAGAGCATGAGGTGAAATTGTGCTTAAGTTGTTAGAAAATTATGTTGTGGTAGTAGATTTTATATGTTTTCAAATGCAATTCAAATTGCATCTCCAAACTCTATTAGAAATAAAGCATGTAATATAAAAACTATTCTATCGGCGGATTATGTCTTTTTCTTAAATAAAATCTATTATCTACCCCTCAAGTTTTGATTAACCTAATTGAATAAATCTCACAGGCGCATACGCACACACAAAACTAATATTATATAAAGTAAGAAAGAATAAATTAATGCAAATAAACAAATCCCCACTTGTACAAAACACACAAATAGAATATTAGCAAAATCAACACAATTATATTCGCCAATTGGCTAAGAAAAAAGGAGGAAAATAGGAAGAGCGATAAGGAGAATGAGTGCACAAAAACAAATTGAACGAACTCATAGAAGATTATCAAAAACCATCATAATTGCGGATTTGTTAACTAATATTTAATATTTGGTAAAATTTTTGTTTGAATTTTCTATAAAAGAAAATCCGGCCCTTAATTTGTCTCATTGTTTTTATTAATAAATATTTGTTTATGCTATGTTTTAAATTGGGAATACCAATTAGGGGTAAACAACCGACAAGCCCCGGGAAGAGGAAGGATTACCTTTTATTGTCATCATAATCACATGCCTTTTATCATCTCTTTTACGGAGGTCCATCCCGAGATGCGAATAAAAACCACTACATCGAGATACATGGCAAAGTCCACATCTCCTAGACCTACGGAGCCTAATATGCTCAGGAAACCCTCCGTTTGCACCCGCCGAACCGATCACCCCAGTATGCCCGCCCTGCACCCGCCGTACGATGATGCCTTAAATTCGTACCTTACCAGCCCGAAGATACTCCAGAATCGCCTCATAAACTTCTAAACTTTCAGAGCCCAAGAGGGACTTGTAATTTACTGGTTTTTCCAAGCCCTTAATATCGTAAACTGTATCCATTAAACGTCTTTCTATGATTTACATATTTGGTGCAAGTCATAAATGAAGTGCTCAAGATCCTCTGAAATTCCACATGTTTCGCAAAGATCATCATCACGCACATGGATTTTGTGAAGATATACTCCACATATCCCAAGGTTACTCCTAAGTCTGTTGGTTGCCCTTGAGTCCTGCCTATTCATGTTTGTCATTGTAAAACACGGCTTTTTCCTGAGGTTTGGGTTTATAGAGAAGTAAAATTTCCCAGTCGGAACGGAGTCACTGTAGGCCTGCCATTCTTTATTCTTGCGCATTTTCATTTGGCAATTAAAATCTGAGACTGGGGTCGGAAGCTCCAGACCTATACCATCCTGTGTGGCTCGGTTTGCATAGTTACTACAACATTACCATGGATTCCGGTGTGACCACGAATCCAACAAAAATATGTAACAATACCCTTATCAGTTTGCAGTTTATACGCTGTTTCAACCACCCGAGCTACCAAGTAATTTGGTTTTGATTGAAGGTAAACATTTACTTAGAATTTGATGATGTGGCTGTTTCTTCCTCCTCATTGCGTAACCTACAAATGGGGTCATTATTTAATATATCCTTATATATATATATGTGCAGGAAGTCGACGACCCGTTCAGCATAATTTCTTCGATGGAACTGGATCGGTGATAAGATACGTCGTCTTCGTAGCATTGGAATCCTCAATTTAAATGTTTACATTTATTGTTTAATCAAATTAAAGAATTACTTTTTGTTGTTTTCAGTACAAATTTATTTTCGGGAATTACAGTTACATAAATGTGGTCTAATTTAGAAGGTATTGAATAGAAGTTATAAATATCGTATTCTACTTTTGAAATAAGAGGTATTGACAAGCTATAAATGATTTCGTTATCATGGATTTTACAATTGACTCTTATTAAATTTCATACTCTGAAATATTTTCCAATTTTACTTCTATAAGCATCTGGGTAGCATAATGAAGAGACATTTTTGAAAGTTCTTCGTAATATAGTTCGATTTGTTTTAATTGTTGTATTGTTTAATTCAACGGCGAACCAACAGCCTCAAATGGAAATTCATTTAAGGAAATTTTCTCTACAAGATATAACCTTGAATCCTCTAATCCCTGTAAATAACCATAAGATTATTAATAACTAAAATACAGGTTCAACTCTTATATTGCATTGTATGATCATAATCATAGTATTAATTATTATTTTTATAATTATATATTGTATGCTCAAGTTTGAAATTTGTCGAAACAAAATAAATAGCATAAATTCAAAAGATGTTAAAACAGATTCGAATATGGAAGAAATCGAATTAAATAAAATTAATGTTTTATAATCATATATTATTGAATTATATTGCATTATGAATACGAGTTGAATCGTGGGAATTAGAAACAATGTATGTAATGAAGGTATTATGTAGCTTATTGTACTATTGTATGATAATATTGTAATAGGGGATCTTAAGGTCCAACTTCCAGGAGGAAGTTTATTTTTTTTAAAGGGGGAGGTGTTACATACACACGCTTGACCCTTATCTGTTGCAACCTTTCACATTCCTCCCTTATCACACCCGCACGTGTTCACTTCCAAGAAACCCCTCCTTCGTTGCATCCCCAAGCCTTTGCTAATATTAATATTTTTTAATGAATCCGTTCCGGGCTTTCATCGAGTAAAGACCTAATTGGAATTAGTTATTCCAGTTTTGTATTGCCTTGCTGTGTAATAAATAGTATTCTTTTTAAAAACCAATTTATATAAGTAATATATAAGTTATGGTTTTGCGTGTATTAAATTAGTTATATATATATATATATATGTAGGATGTTCACCGCCACTACGTCAACGGAGGCCCTACATGGCGGGAACCCTGTCTCTCCCCTCTATCTGGGCCCCAGCTGACAGTTTGAGTTGTTACCACCACGCGGTCCTACGAACACGTTTCTTTTTACGCTAATGTATTTTAATGTTAACTAGTTATCCTTTTACTTTTGTTTATGTGTTCTTTANAAAAGAAGAAACGGCAAAGCACTACCTCGCAGAATGTGATAGGTATGCTAGGTCTAGATTTGAAATCTTTGAAGGAGAGGACATCACCAAATCACTCCCCGAGATAAAATGGCCCAAAATCCTCGGGTTTGTGAACCAGTCCAAGAGGTTTATGCAGGACACGTGAGCCGACCAAGTCCCGGACCTTGTAGGGATGGGGTACGAGTCTACCCAGGCATTTAACTCCTCGGGTCTTCGTCGCCCACCCTGCATTATATATATAACTAATTTAATACACGCAAAACCATAACTTATATATTACTTATATAAATTAGTTTTTAAAAAGAATACTATTTATTACACAGCAAGGCAATACAAAACTGGAATAACCAATTCCAATTAGGTCTTTACTCGATGAAAGCCCGGAACGGATTCATTAAAAAATATTAATATTAGCAAAGGCTTGGGGATGCAACGAAGGAGGGGTTTCTTGGAAGTAAACACGTGCGGGTGTGATAAGGGAGGAATGTGAAAGGTTGCAACAGATAAGGGTCAAGCGTGTGTATGTAACACCTCCCCCTTTAAAAAAAATAAACTTCCTCCTGGAAGTTGGACCTTAAGATCCCCTATTACAATATTATCATACAATAGTACAATAAGCTACATAATACCTTCATTACATACATTGTTTCTAATTCCCACGATTCAACTCGTATTCATAATGCAATATAATTCAATAATATATGATTATAAAACATTAATTTTATTTAATTCGATTTCTTCCATATTCGAATCTGTTTTAACATCTTTTGAATTTATGCTATTTATTTTGTTTCGACAAATTTCAAACTTGAGCATACAATATATAATTATAAAAATAATAATTAATACTATGATTATAATCATACAATGCAATATAAGAGTTGAACCTGTATTTTAGTTATTAATAATCTTATGATTATTTACAGGGATTAGAGGATTCAAGGTTATATCTTGTAGAGAAAATTTCCTTAAATGAATTTCCATTTGAGGCTGTTGGTTCGCCGTTGAATTAAACAATACAACAATTAAAACAAATCGAACTATATTACGAAGAACTTTCAAAAATGTCTCTTCATTATGCTACCCAGATGCTTATAGAAGTAAAATTGGAAAATATTTCAGAGTATGAAATTTAATAAGAGTCAATTGTAAAATCCATGATAACGAAATCATTTATAGCTTGTCAATACCTCTTATTTCAAAAGTAGAATACGATATTTATAACTTCTATTCAATACCTTCTAAATTAGACCACATTTATGTAACTGTAATTCCCGAAAATAAATTTGTACTGAAAACAACAAAAAGTAATTCTTTAATTTGATTAAACAATAAATGTAAACATTTAAATTGAGGATTCCAATGCTACGAAGACGACGTATCTTATCACCGATCCAGTTCCATCGAAGAAATTATGCTAAACGGGACGTCGACTTCCTGCACATATATATATATAAGGATATATTAAATAATGACCCCATTTGTAGGTTACGCAATGAGGAGGAAGAAACAGCCACATCATCAAATTCTAAGTAAATGTTTACCTTCAATCAAAACCAAATTACTTGGTAGCTCGGGTGGTTGAAACAGCGTATAAACTGCAAACTGATAAGGGTATTGTTACATATTTTTGTTGGATTCGTGGTCACACCGGAATCCATGGTAATGTTGTAGTAACTATGCAAACCGAGCCACACAGGATGGTATAGGTCTGGAGCTTCCGACC